TGTGAATATGGCAATGAAGATGAGGATAACAGTCGGAATAATGTAAATAATGCAAAGGTTTTATTGTATTCTTCATGTATGCGAAAAAGAGCTTATTTTTTTTTTAATTTAGTGAGTGTAGAAATTGTCGAAAGGATTAGTCATCCGGAGCGATTTTCGCTAATCTATTAGGTAATTTCAAGAAGATTTATTGTCCTATTTTAAGTGGTATATACGTCCTATTGTAAACAATGTAAAGATTGATGAAAGGTGAACCTCTTCTAAATTCCCAAATCTGGGCATGACATCTGCACCTCTGTTTCTATCTTAGTTTATTTGCCAAGAACAATTATTCTTTCTTATGTCGTCTTTTAATTCCAAATTTTTTATATCTATCTTTCATCCGCTCTCTTCTTCGGAATTTTAACCCTCCCTCGTCTCTCTTTCTCTCTCTACTAACTCGCACAGAGACAAACACCCTCATATAGACATATACTTCAGTTTTTTTTTTCCTTTCTTTTTGTACGGAACACGCACACACTCTTTTGGTGTATCTAACTCCCCCCTCTCTCTATCTCCCTCTCTTTCTTTCTTTCTTTTTATCTATCTATCTATTTATCTATCTATCTATGACTTATCCTTATCACTGTGCGTTATCTATCTATCAATCTATCTATCTATCTATCTATTGAACGCACACACACACATACATTTTCCTTTAATTCTTTTCGCTAAAGATCAGCTCTCATACACACACGGACATACACGCCTGTTTCTTTTTTTTTGCGAAGAACAATCACTTTCTTTTGGGCTATTTCACTTCTTATCTCTCCTCCCTATCTTTCTCTCTCTCTCTCTCTTTTCTCTCTCAAACACACACAAGCTTCTGCTTTCTTTCTTTTTGCGAAAAATACTCACTATTTTGGTGTTTGCAGTTTCCTTTTTTAATTTAGTCCCTTTTTTATATATATATATATATATATATATATATATATATATATATATATATATATATTTATATATATATACATATATATATATATATATAATATATATATATATATATATTTATATATATATATATTATATATATGTATATATATATATATATATATATATATATAGGTACCTCTATTAGAAAACTAATATAGCATGACAAGAAAGTCTGAAAATTAACGAAAAAAAATTTTTTCATGATAAAAGTATATTTCATTATTGAGAAGAAACACTAAAGTATTTTTTGAGTAATTTTTTGAAATTTTTTACTCATTCTTAGCATGTCCGAAATTTTAGTTTTGTTTACAGAAAAAAAACGAAAAAGCTCTATATCAATTATTTTTAAAAATTTTAAAAATAAGTTAAATTCTTCGTTTAAAATTCGTTTAAAAAAATTTTTTATACGTATTTCAATATTTATTCGAAGAAATTTAGAAAATTTAAAGTTTATTTAAAATATTTTGAAAGAAACTTTTACTTACTTTCTTCGTAGAAAAATGTTTTTAAAAGAGCCGATCTTCCGTTGATTGACAGAGTGCCAAGTGATGACATCTATAAATTATTGACACTGACGTGAGATTCGAGTTCCCATAAGGACAGAATGGACATATTAACGGACCCTTAAGTAGTAACTTGTAATATTTAAATAAAAAACTTTACATTTTTTTTTTTTTTTTTTTTAACCTATGTACCATAGGTTTGTTGATACTCTCTGGAGAAATTATAAATACTATTAAAAAAAACTAAAATACAAGTGCTGCACTGCTGTTTGAGGGCCCATAGACCCCTCTAAAGTCAATTCAGATTTGCTATTATAAAAAAAAATTCTATCCCCAGTAAAAATAATCAAACATAGTTCATTTTTCACTTATATTCTCGGAAAAAATAAATAAATGGATTCTTATATTTTTATGTAATAAAAAATTACTTATCTGGAAAAATACCAGGTAAAGTTTATCTGAATCCCATGAAACTAGGTATTTTCTGAAAGCAAACAATATGTCTATTTAAAAAGTAAAATTGGCCAGTGTAAATCTGAAAAGTTTTTTAGTTTTCTATCTACACACAACCTGGGTTTTATAATTAAAACCCAGGTTGTGTGTGTTACGTTTATTGGATCGAATTTCCTACATTTTTCAACCAATTTCAACCAAACATTACAGGACTACGATGAAAACTAGATGAAAGTACCTATTTTAACTTAATGAAAATGATGCACACGTGTTTCAGCAGGAACAGTTTGCTAAATTAAGGGGGCCGTATACAGCGAAGAACAACCCTTACTAGACAGAAACTCAATCCACGTGACGTTATTTTTTTGCACGCACCAAACTTCCGGTCTTCCGTAGATTTCATTGGTAAACACATTATTGACAAATTAATTTTTTTATATACGAAGACTCATTAGTTTTAATAAGCTTTGGAAATTATAATCTGTAAATATATATCTACTTAAAAAACAACATCCGTTAAGCTGTACGCGCTTTTCCATAATTTTAGAAGAATTAACAACATAATGTAAAAAATAAAAACAATGGTTGCGGAAATAAAAATAATTGTAGGTAATTGTTTTAAAAATTCATTTTTCATCGAAATATCTTTTGCTTTCAGACAATATTGTCCATGTTTATTGGAATAAATAAAAGCAATTAAAAGCTTTTGAAATTAAATAATATTTTTGTTTTATTGAGTTTTTGTATGTTACACTTCAGAGACGATTTTCAGGTAGAAGGGCTCCAACTAAAAAAAAACAAAAACATGATTTTGTTTCCTCAAAGCATTGTGCTTTTAACTGATATAATCACTAAACTCCTAAGAATTGAAATTATAGAGTTTTCGTACAATTAGTTAGAGTGGGTAAATACATATAAAAAAAAAAAATTTCTGCGATGACTTTACTAAAAAAAAATGTATTTATAATAAGTTCCATCATTTGTAAATAGTTTCTGAAAATTTCATTAAAATCCGACAATTATTTTCATTTTTGCAAGATTTTCCAAATTAATGTGTGTCAAACAAAAAAAAAAAACGCGCCCAAATGTTTAACGTTAATTTATCAGCCAAGCTGATAAAAAGAGAAACAAGGTCTTTTAATCAAAATTTACAATGTTCTAAAAAAGAAGGAAAAATTTAAAAAATAATAAAAAATACTTTGATCTTTCCTCTAAAAAATAACATAAGCATTTAGACGCGAAAATTTTCATCAACTTTGGTCTCTTTTTTTAATCATGCTATGCTTTTTTTAGCGATCCAACAGAGATACCTATATATATATATATATATATATATATATATATATATATATATATATATATATATATATACACACAGACATACACACTTGTTTTCTTTTTTTTGGTATTGAACCCTCACTCTTTTTCTTTGGTGTCTCTAATTTCATCTCCCCCTCTCTCTCACACACATACGCAAACATACATACATACATACATATACATTCACAACTGTTTCTTTTCTCTTTTTTTGTGCAGAAACCTCACCATTTCTTTCTCTATCTCTAACTTCCCCCTTTCTCTCTCTCACACCCTTTCTCTTTTATTCTATGCATATACACATATTTGTATAACTGTTTTACACGTTTTCATTTCCAAACGTATACACTCGATATTGAGAGTTGTGAGGTCCTATCACTCTAGCTTTTGTCTTGTAAGAATGTTACTTGTCATGCCTGACCGGGTAACCGACCATGCCGGACTGAACCCAAATGCTGGTCCGTCGCCATTCTGTCTCGTGATGAAAACCTTTTATGGAAGCAACTTGTAAGCAAAACCTCAATATGATTTTCCATTCACACTGTATTTCTCTTTCTCTTTTTTTTTTACGCTCACACATTAGCAAATGAGAAAACAATGAAACTAGTTGCTTCCTTCGACCACTCGTTGACACAGTAAAATTAATTGAATAGCAATTTAGGATATTTTTTTTTCGCTTGCATATGTCTCCCACCACCCAATATATCCTGTTCTCCGGGCGGCGCGGGTGAATTAGAGGCGGACAAGCTTGTTAGAGTAAAAGCAGGAGACTGCTATTCCTAAATGGAACTGGTCACTGACTTGTGATGCATCGAAACAAGGTCCCATTTTATAAGCCCTTATATGTAGTTAAAGGAAAAAGAATTTACAATCATACACATATCCACTGATATATGCACGTATTCAGAACAAATCTATTTGCACACATAAAAATAGAAGCAATCATACAAGCAAACATAAATAGATATATACACATGCATAAACATACAGACTGCCTCACACCTACATGTTAATATGTTTTTTTTTTTATCGAAAAAATCCATAGTAGTATATATTGCTTTATAAAAACTGGTTCCAATATTATTGTGTAGAAGCGGTTCGCAAACTCGCTTCGCAGATCAGTTTTAATGATCTGCGAAGCGAGTGTGTTAGGTGTACCACGATTGTACATTTGTAACATAATGCACTAACCATGGAAAGACAAATTCATAAAGAGAGAAATCAGTCAGTTATGTGTCATGGATGACACACGCTTAGGCGATCATGTATCTTTCGATACATGACTGCCGAGGCAGTTTTTTTCCCCTACAGTATGTTGCCATTTCTTTCTACGGTAGACCAGTTGCTATCCAAGGCTCTGGAACTCGGTCTGTACTCTTATTTACTCATAGCTGGTGGGAGAGAAAGAGAATTCATTAACTTTCCCAAAGATATCAGAACGTAAGTGAATGTAATGGATTCGACAGGAATAGATATGAACAGACTGAGATAGATAGATAGATAGATAGATAGATAGATAGATAGATAGATAGATAGATATGTCAGTCAGTCAGTTATGTGTCATGCGTGATACACGCGTACGCGATCATGCATCTTTCGATACATGACTGATAAGGCAGATTGTTTCCCGCAGTAGGTTGCCATTTCTTTCTACGGTAGACCAGTTGCCATCAAAGGCTACAGAACTCGGCCTGTCCTGCTATTTATCCATAGCCGGGGGGGGGAGAAGAGGATTCATTAGCTTTCCCAAGGGTATTAGCACGTAAGTGAATGTAGTGGATTCGACTGGAATAGATATGAACAGACTGAGATAGATATGAACCGACTGAGATAGATAGATAGATAGATAGATAGATAGATAGATAGATAGATAGATAGATAGATACTTTACTCACGTTGATAAGGATAAGTCATAGAAAGAAAGAAAGAAAACTGATAGCTATTTAACTGACACTGATAAGGATAGATAGATAGATAGATAGATAGATAGATAGATAGATAGATAGATAGATAGATCAGTGAGTTATGTGCAATGCGTGAGACACGCTTAGGCGATCATTTATCTTTCGATACCTGACTGATGAGACAGATTTTTTTCCAGCAGTAGGTTGCCATTTCTTTCTACGGTAAACCAGTTGCCATCCAAGGCCTGTCCTGCTATTTACCAGTAGCTGGGGCAGGGGAGAAAGATAATTCATACCTTTCCCAAGGGTATTAGCACGTCAGTGAATGCAATGGATTTGACTGGAATTCGAAGGACTCTCCGATTCCTGAAGAGAGAAGTTAGATGCGCAATAAAAGAAACGGGATGTAAATGTAAAAAAGAAGACGGATGCAAAAAAAAATGTGAGGTAGATGTATAATGAGGGGGTAGATGAAATTAAGGAAAACAGATATAAAGAAAAGATGGATGCAAAATGAAGGTAGGTGCCGGAAAAAAACTAACAAATGTGGGTAAATGCAATTATATAAGAGGTGGAGATAAAAAAAGGCAGGTGCAAAGATGGCGGTAGATGAAAATAAAGAAAGCAGGTATAAAATAGAAAAGAAAACAGACGGAAAAAGAAGATTTGTGTAATAAAATGCGGCCGTTGTAGAAACTGGAAAACGGGCTGAAAAATGATAGAAAGCAAAGACAATATCAAAATATAAAAGGAAATAAATTTACTGCTACAAAAGCCTTTATCGAGGCATAAAACAAAGATAAAAAAGAAACAGATGAAAAAAGAAAACTAGTCGAGAAATAAAGAATTCAAAGGAAAAAAAGGAAGCAGATGAAAAAAGAAAACTGGTCGAGAAATAAAGAATTCAAAGGAAAAAAGGAAACAGATGAAAAAAGAAAACTAGTCGAGAAATAAAGAAATCAAAGGAAAAAAGGAAACAGATGAAAAAAGAAAACTAGTCGAGAAATAAAGAATTCAAAGGAAAAAAGGAAACAGATGAAAAAAGAAAACTTGTCGAGAAATAAAGAATTCAAAGGAAAAAAAGGAAACAGATGAAAAAAGAAAACTAGTCGAGAAATAAAGAATTCAAAGGAAAAAAAAAAAACAGATGAAAAAAAAGAAAACTAGTCGAGAAATAAAAAAGGAAAAAAAACAGATGAAAAAAAAGAAAACTAGTCGAGAAATAAAGAATTCAAAGGAAAAAAGGAAACAGATGAAAAAAGAAAACTTGTCGAGAAATAAAGAATTCAAAGGAAAAAAAGGAAACAGATGAAAAAAGAAAACTAGTCAAGAAATAAAGAATTCAAAGGAAAAAAGGAAACATGATAACAGGTGAGAAAAAATAGCCAGACAACAACAAAAAAGGAAGCCACATGATAAAAAGAAACAAATGAAAAAAAGGAAACAGATGAAAAAAGAAAGCCAAACAACAACAAAAAACGAAGCCAGATGAAAAATGAAATAGACGAAAAAAGGAAACAGATAAAAAACGGAAGCCAGACAACAACCATAAATATGCAACCAGATGAAAAAAGGAAGCAGACGAAGAAAGGAACTCAAATTTAATAAAGGAAGCCAAGTGCAAAAAAATAAAACTAGAGAAAACAATAGAAGCAGATGAAAAAAAGAAAGCCAGATGAAAAACTAAGCCTGATAAAAAAGCAGATGAAAAACGGAAACTAAAAATAGAGGCAAATAATAAAAGCAGATGGAAAATGGAAAGCAGATAAAAAAGAAAGGCATATATAAAACCAATGCACAAAAAGAATATCGATGAAAGAAACAGATGTAAAAAAAAACAGATGTACAAAAGGAAAGTACAGAAAAACAGATGCACAAAAATAAAAAACAATGAAAAAATGCAGATTTAAAGAGAAAAAAAAGCCGATGAAAACAAGAGATAAAGAAAATGAAGGGAGGTTAAATAAGAAGACGAGGATAAAAGCAAGGCAGATGAAAAAATATGTATAAAAAGGTAGAAAAAAAAGCAGATAGAAAATGTAAAAATGATAAGTAGTTGAAAAAGCAGACATAAAAATGAATAATATGGAAAAAAGCAGATGGAAAAAGAAAGGTAAGTGAAAAAAATGGCAGATGTAAAAACAAAATGGAAGACGGATGTAAAATAGATGTACAGGCAGAAAATTCGATGAAAACAACAAATGAAAAAAAGAAAGTGCAAATGAGAAAAAAAAAAGATGTATAAAAGGGAATGAATGAAGGAAGAAAAAATAGAAGGTAAATGAAAATAAAGATGTGAAATTAAAGAAAGCAGAAGAGATGGCAGATATAAAAAAATGAAAGTATATGTAAAAACGATGTAAAAGGAACGCAGATGCAAAGAAGCAAACGTAGAAGAAAAAAAGAAGGCAGCTCGTGTTTTTTAAACAAAGAAAGATGCTAAAAAACTCACACATTTACAACACAAGCACACATCTTACAATAGCCAGAAGTTTATTCATCCACATCAAAACACAAATCTAAACAATTAAAAAAAACATAGACAGAACGGTAGTTACGACCAGCGATGCACAAACATAGAGTTATGCATTGATTGCATGCAAATCAGTCAAGTCGCTACAGATTTACGAGCACGATGTCTAATTTACATGCACACAAATAAAATAAATGCATTCAACTCACATGCCCCACAATAATCTGAATATTCACATAAGACCATATCCATAAACCAAAACTAAACACGCACACAGAAAGACACATACATATTTATGTAAATACACACACCCATATTAAGGCATATAATTTATGCATAAACATACTTAAACACGTATTTAGACAACGAGTCTAAATGAGCATAAATTATTTACCAATTTAGCCTGAATATAATCTTTCATACATACGTATGGTATACACACTCAATTATATATATATATATATATATATATATAGCTACGCAAAAAATGATGTCTAAGTTTTAAAATGCATTTTTAAAAAATTGCAAAGCCTTTTTTAAATATTTATTTTAGTTTTAATTGCAAGCTTATAGATTAAATTTCGTATTTCCAATATGCAAAACCTTTTGTTGTATGTCAACCCGAATTTAAATTTATTTAAATTTAATGATTCTTCTGATTATCAGCAAAATCTATAAAATCGTCCATATTGCATAATCTGTCGACATAACATAATTCTCTTTATTAAAAAATCTTTCAAAAATATAATATACTTTTCTGAAAAGTTGTTTGAAAAATATTACCGGATTTAAATTAAATTTATCTAGATTAAAACAAATATTACTTATATTTAGTTTAAATATCACAGAGAATTGCTTTTTAACACGAATATGGATATTTTTATTAAGTTTTGATACACATATTGACTGATGTTTGAGAAAATGAATTTAAAGAGGAGATACTTTTAATAACGTTACATGACGAATACAACGTAAATATATTTTTATATCATGTTTTAATGATTCAGTAATCTTTAAAATTTAAAATTTTTAAGCATTCTTGGATTTTATTTAATTTGGTTTGGTTTGGTTTGTTTTGTTCTACAGTCTATCAATCTTAATGGGTTATTTAATGCCGACAAGATTTTTTTTCCCGAAATATATAGCTGGTAATATTTTTTCTTCAAAAAATTATTGCTGGTAATATTTTTACAAAAATGTATCGCTGGTATTACTATTTTTACACTTTCATAGTGTTTTGACCCCAGTTTGGGGGTTAACTTTTGGCCGTAGCTGGGACCATAACAAGTGCTACCAACTAGGAGCAGAGTGGACCAGGGAACACTAGCAATTAGAGATGGTTCCACAAAAATATATAAAGTACAGGCTCTCGAGAAAGCATTTGAGCAACATGCTCCATAAGTTTTCTATGTGGTTGAGGTCTGGAGATTTGGGCACCCATGTCATAACACTCACCTGCTTCTCATCAAAGTATTCCTTCATCAATTTTTATTCGTGACAGAGAACATTATCCTGCATAAAAATGAGCTTGGTGGGGTCGATTTTCACGCTGTCAGCAGAAGGGAGCAGACAAGACTCTAAAATTCTCTTGTACTGCTCACTCCTGAGGGTCTTTTCAACAGGTTTTAAGAAACCAGTTCCATGAAAAGAAAAGCATCTCCAGAACATTATACTGAACGGATGCTTGACAGTACTTACTGCTAACTTCAAAAAGCTTTCAAAGCTTCTTCTTCAGATTTTAGATCGCATATCCTTTGTTTTAGCTCAACTTTCGTTTCATCGGAGAAGAGAACATTTAGTAAAAAAATCAGGTGAGTCACTTTTATCGAACAGCGCTGTACTTGAACAAAAAAACAAAACAAAACAAAATATAAACAAAATTTAACAGACGTACATTGTCAGTTCTTTTTAATCAAATTTGTTTGGATGAAGACTTGCTGCCTAAATATATCTTATTCTGAGTTGTTGTTTTTATTTTAACTCATTTCATTCCAAGGCGATAATGTGACTATGACGAAAGAGGAGACTGGGAGTAAAAGAGAAAAACATTGTTGAGGGAGGAAAGGAAAATAAAAGAACAAGTTTCAGGAAAAGTGAAGATGGCGATGAACATGGCATTTAAAATTTTGAAGTTCCTAAAAATTCATCCAGATAAGAGTGATTTAAAAATCCGCCTTCATCCCTACCATGCGCCGACGGCTTAATGGTTAGAATCTCCGACTGACACCAAGTCAGTCGGGTTTCGATCCTAGCTAGAGGCAACCTGATGTCTAGCCGCAATGATGAGCTACGAAACAGTCTGTCTGTGGATGACGTTATATATATATATATATATATAGAATAAAAATAAGAGAGAAGAAAATCCACGCATCAATATTAATAACCAGGCTCTTCTCGTAGGAGAGTTTGGTTATTAGAATAATGCTTGGGTTTTCTTCTCTGTTATTTTTTTTTTGTCACGTGGTTTTGTTTTTAATGGTTTTATCAATAAATACTGTTCCGCCGTTTTTTAGCCAGTTTACCCCTCTAAACCCTTCTGTTTAGGTGAAACCTAGATAGGTTTGCCTGGCTCTTTAGGATTTATTCTAATTTACTGCTTTACTTAGCCTATTGAGCCCTCTACGTTTTCGTTCTTTGTACCCGCTTGGGCTTTTTTCTTTGGACTAAGGACTTAAGACACTTGACGATTTGTTTCGCCTTGTTCTGATGTTTTTAGTTATTTCCTTTTTTTACTTCCAATTTTTTCCTCGGGTACCATTTTGCCCTCAGCTGTCTACAAGTTGAGGTTTTTCAAAAGAGTAATACTGTTAGTATATATACCTGGGTCGATTAGTCAGGAAGGTGCCTTCTTGATATTATCGATCTGGTGGAGGCGATCACAGCGTGCTGCACATTTGAAAAGTGCTTGAAAACCATACCACGTGTTAACCGAAGCCATGTCTGTAAAAAGTGGCTAACTCGATGTTACAAGTCATCGTGACCGAGGGTTTGAGTGTGCTGGCATGGTTCATACTGTTAACCTCACTCGATAACTGTTATCAACTATTAAAGTTTAGAAATTCTTATTTAAAATTTATCAATGCCTCCAGTCGCAAATGCAGATGGCATCAACAGGATTTTATAATAGTAGAGGATTAGTGAAAAAAGAGAAGAGTAGGAATTATTGATTCGGGACCTTGACAGATAAAGGCTGTTCCAATAACTTGGACCGATTTCAAATGTGAATTTAGTTTAAGCATCTAATGATTTCTTTTTCTTTTTCTTTCAGATTTAACGACTTAAGTCTTCGGCAATTTCAACCAATACTAACAATCAAACAACGTGTTAAAGTTATCGAAGCCTATTACAAAAATGGATGTTCAAACAGAATTTGAATAAGAAGTTCCCAGGTTGCATCATCTCTCGAAACAGCGAAGTCAATTAGCCATCGCGATCGTTCAACTTGGCGCCTTTAGATTTCTTCCTTTGGGGACATATCAAAAGTAAGATCTATGCCAACAAGCCAACAACAATTCAACAACTGAATAAGGCATATTGGTGAGATCGAGGAGCAACTATGCAGAGACGTCATCACAAATTTTGACCATCAAGTGGAGATGTGCCGTCGAAGCCTTGGTGGACATTTGGGTGATATTATATTTCACACATAATTGCTATGACTTAAATAACATAATCCAATAGAGAAATAAATAAATTTTCACCAATAACACTGATTTATTTACTGCTGACTTTGATCCGTCTTAATGAAACACCCTTTATAACACTGATGTATGTTGTTTCCAAGAAACCAAAATCAAAGTAGGATGTATTAATTAATATCGGAGTTTGTCAGTAGAAATTGTTTTTTTTTAGGTTTTTTTATCAGTGCTATATGGAAGATTAATATCCATTGGTGAATAATTATAGCATACATATTAAACAACGACTTTACAAATCGTGACAGCTGTTAGAGAGATGTGATATTTAAAAAAATACTCAGTATTATTATTATTTAGGTAATAAGCATTATAACATATCACAAATAGCTATGTTATGGAAAAAAGCAATTTTCGACAATATACGCATTTTTTACTTATTTATGGCTATTTTTTAACTTTTATAAAAAACGACATACTTGTACATATAATTATGGATAATATTATACATTAATTACTATTTTTTTCAGTTGTTGACATTAATAGCTATCTGCTGATGTGTTAAAATTTTGGGATAATACAATAATAAAAATCTAAATTTTATCTCTAGTAGAAGTCGCGATCTGTTGATCTATCTATCTATCTATCTATCTATCTATCTATCTATCTATCTACATACACACACACACACACACACATATATATATATATATATATATATTTAATGACAGTAAAGTGCTCTCTGATAGATGTCACGATCTGTTAACCTATCTCTTTATCTACTTTACAGAAAGTGCTCTCTGTTAGATGTAGTGATCTGTGAATAGTGTCTGTTTTTATTACATCGCCCCAAGTAACACAGCTACTAAGGCGCAAGGGTTTCCTGAATGTGTCAGAATGTGAGAAATAGAAAGTACTGGGGAGAGTGAACAATAAAAAACAGGAAGGAAGAAGACAAATAACAACGGTCGACATTGCACTTAAAGTTTTGAAGACCAAACATGACTGGAAACCAAGAGGTCAGAAGAGAGTTCCTCAATTGCGAAGCGCAAGAGAAGACACTCTTAACGCAAGACTTGCAGCTATTCATTTCAAATGATGTGAACTTGCTGCAAATCTAGTACTATGCTTAAATTAATAAATCTAGTTACCAAAGGAAAAAGCTCATCGTTATAAATTTTTATGAAAATATTCATAGAACAAGCACAGGGAGGCTACGTTACGTTGTGGCGAAAGTTTTGGTTTGGTTTGGTTTGGTTTGGTTTGTTTTACGGCATATCAAGAACAATGGATTATTTAATGCCGACAAAAATTTTATTGCTGTGAATATTTTTTTTTTTTAAATGTG